CGGGCCCCCGGAGGTGGCGGGGCCGGGTCCCCGGAGGTGGCGGGGCTGAGCTCCGGGAGGCTCCGCGCTCCCGGGGCTGCCCTGAGCCGGAGGTGGGAGCTGGGCTACACCTCCCTCCCTGCCCACAGCCCTCCGGGCCAAAGGCAACCACAGGTACAATTTGCTGGTGGATTATACGGACAAATAAAAAATTATACAAAAAGATATTCAGTGCTGATATTCAGGGAACTGTAAGAAATACAAACTAATCCAGGCTTGTTAAAATAGGTTTTTCTTCCCTATTCTTTAGGTGTTTATAAAAATCGTATTGGGTCAGGGAGAAATTATCTTGATATAACTTTTATTTTTTTCCATTTTAATACTTTTGAAGTTGAAGAGCAGATGAATTTATGCGATGTGAGATTTATTTTCTAAATATTAAAATTTTACTAGATAATGTTCTTAAGATATTTGATATTTATTAAATCCTCTTCTATTAAGGAAAAAAAAAAAAAGTATATTTTCAAATCACACATGGGTTCAAAATTTTTTACCATTAAGTATAATACAAATAACCTCTGTGACTTCCTAAAGATTCCTAAGGATTAACTAGAGACTGTAGACTTTAAAAAAAATAATAATATTAGGAGTTACCATGCTGTGTATTCTACACAGAAAAGAAAAAAAAAAATTCATAGTAAGTTAGCCTAAGACTTTGGAGCAGCCTACCACAATCCAAGGTAAGGAGGTTCCCTTATAATAGTATTTTCCATCAATATTTTGCAGTTTGTTTTTAGAATCAATGTCTTCTTTCAGCCTTCAGCTTTGGGATTTATTTCACCAGATCTGCCAGTTTTCCCATTCTCCATGTGTTTTGGTGTTTAGAAGTTCCTTATCTTCACAGCAATAACTTAAAACATAGTGAGTTGCATTCTCTGCCTAGTAGGTACCTTTTATTCCCATGGTTTGTGGTTGATAAGTAGAATTTTAAAAAAATTAAAGAAAGAAAGTCAATTTAGTTTTGAGTGTCTTCAAACTCATGCTGCATATTTTTGTTTAAAGGATACAGCAGAAACTCATTTATTCTCCAAACTGAATTGCTGATATTAACACAAGGCACACTGACCATTGCCTAAAATATTAAATTTTACCTAAAAGGGGTTTTTAAAAGTTCTTTGTCTTTATGCTGTCATTCTGGAAAGCCTACAGAAGCAGGGATCCTCTATGATTCAATAAGTTCCTTTTTTTGTATTCCTGGTTTCATTTCTCTGAGCTTTGATGTATGTTTTACTCCAGTTGTGAGAAATGCATATATAAAATGCCACATGCATAGGAGAATTTCAAGTGTAAATGGATTTAAGCACCAACTTTAAGGAGAGCCCTGTCCACAAAGAAAAATGATTACCCATTAATTTTTAGACCTATAATCTTAAAATGTCTCAAAATGTCATACAGGCAAACACATCACAGCCAGGATAAATCTTTCTAGTCTTCTTACTTTTTTAAAACAGCAAAGTTATACCTTACATGATAGCTTCAAAAAAGCACAATTATCCTATGTTTTGCACCATATATTTATCAGTAATCCGTTCTGTGTGCAACTTTAAGATAAAAGCTTGCAGCTACTCCACTGCTTGCTTTTCCAAGTCACTTAAAAATGGAAAAATTGCAGCTGGAGAGGCTGGCCAGTAGAGGCCTCTCTAGATTTGCCTTATGATTAAGAACTCTGACTGCCTGGAATCAGTCGCAGTGAGGAAAAGTACTTGAAAAGATTCTGTGGCGTGGAGGGGGAAAGATCACTTTTTAATGCCCTTTTAAGTTGCAAGATGTTGATTAATGTTGCCCTTTACATTAATGATGTTTCAAGTAAAAGAAAACAAATTTAAAATGGATAAATTCTATTGAGGATGCATTAATTAAACAGAGACTTTACCATATGCTGTGGCTGGAGTGCTTGCTGGCCTTTCTGTTGTTGTTACCTGTGTAAAATCCACCCCATCCTCTACATGAATGCCCAAGCTGAATAGCCATTTGAATGCAAGCTTTAGTTTGATTCGCCATACAAGGGGTACTGTGTCACTGTGTTTTCTTTCTAGGAGTCACTAAGTGATTTCTATATCTGTTGTCATGGTGATATAGCAAAGCAGGGGAAAATGGGGGCAACTCCAGGCTTTCTCTACACCCTCTGCACTAAGAACTAAGATGTTGTTAGCAGGCCTATAAAACATTGGGCTTTATCTGGGCCTTCTTTTTGTTCTCTGATTGTCAATAAAACTCATTTTAAGGGTAACAAGGACATCTAAATGTCATCTGTCACAGTGTTAGAGAGATTAAGTTTGTTTAGGAACTTGTGCTGGACAAAAGGCCACTATTTGTTCAGCAGATACAAAGCGGTGTTGGCCATCAGGAATCGTGATTTAGAAGGAGGCTGCATGGAGCATCCAGGGAAGATCAGCTCAGTTGCAGGTGATAGTAAGAGGCTCCTTGACATGACAGCATTTAAAACACTACCAAAACAAATAGGGGTTTGAGTTAGAGCGGGTTTATCAGGGTTTTGTTCTCTTGGGCTGGATATTTTTTTTTTTGTTGCTTATCAGCTTTGTAGACCGGATGTTACTGGAGTGGCTGCACAGACCTGAGGGAAGAAAACAGCCATTGACAGCGGATGGCCTGTTTAAAAACATGACACACACACCTGATAGGCCTTGAATGAATAAAAATAGAAGAGGGAAAGGAGGTTTTCCATGGAAAATCCAACAATAATAGGTGCTGCATTAACTCAGCATTTACTTAATAATGAGGCTAAATGGAAAGTACAGATTAATGAAGACATTGGTGTTATTAAAATCAAATCCTGCGGTTCATATGCTTTTCTTAATAATGAACATTGTGGCTATTGGAGAGGAAGAACAGGATTTTTTCTATTAATTTGGCACACATCCCAGATCTCATTCAACCAGAACCTATCCTGTGCAAAATGCAACCGATGGCCTTTATGTTCCACAGTCTTGCTGTTTAATATTTTTGTTAATCCAAAAAAAAAAAAAACAAGCTTTTCTTTTTTCAAATTAAAGAAAAGGAAAGGGTGATCTTTGAGCCTAGACAATAATTAAATAACACAGACCAGCCATGTTGATTTAAGCAGAAAGGTTGGTTGAAAAATGTCCCTAGAAGGGATATGTGATGCTGTTTATTGCACTACAACTACATTTAATTCTGACATTTGTGTTTTGGTAGTAATACAATGTATAATGCTGATTGATATATTTTGTGGCTTGTTGTATATTTAGTGAGATCTAAAAGACAATATTCTGGACATCAATCTTGACAGGTAAAAATAATTTAGTTTCATTTGTTAAGGTTGCTGTAGTTCCAACACTGAACAAGCAGCATTTGAGATGCAGCTGAACAATGGAGTTGGCAGAGTTGAGCGCTCATTTTGCCATATGCTCAATGTGAAACATTTGTTTGATGTGGAAGGAAGCTGCATAACCTGGTAGTGCGGCTTGTGCATCATGGCAGTATCCACTCCTTACTCAAGTGTTTGTGTTATTGACCCAGCCATGTTCCCTGAGCATCTGCAGAGTGAATGGAGGAGGCAAACAGCGTGGCATGGGAGAGGAAATACAGCCCATGGAAAGGGGTCCTGGTCCTCCCTGGTAGGCCAGAAGGGAAGAGCATGACAGAATGTTACTATCCCATTAATTAGGTCTTTCCCTCTAACAGTTACCCCAGATCAAGCCATCAGCTTGGTTCTGCATGTGGATGAGAATAACTTTGGCTGAAGAAGTAAGAGCTCCCAGAACATGCTCTGTTGGCTCCTGTTTTCCTCATATCATAAGGCTACATTCACAGTGAAATTAAATGCAAGCACCACAGAAAATCCCTAGGAGTAAACCTTGTCAAACACGGGAAGTAAATCCCCTGCTCTGGGTGACAGTAAAAATTAAATATGTGCAGCTAGGTGTATAGCAAAACTCACTATAATAGCCTTTGGACACTGTTTAAAACAGCCCAGCCTCTAAAAGGTGTGTCGAGGTTGTTGTGTAAGGGACAGGAACACCCTCACTATTTATCCATCCCTGCAGCAGAGGGCAGGCGGAGGGTGCCCGATGGCAGAAGATCAACATTGCTCTGTTGTCCCTTCCAATATCACTATGTCCAGGGAATGTAAAATTGTGGCAGGGAGCCTCTCTACCACCTACAGCTCCCTCCTGTGAAAGAGGCTTTCCCATCCAAGCAATTTACATGGTTTTCTGACGTCTCTGTGACCAGGCTTTTGCAAATTACTTATTACCAGGAGGCCAGAACCCAGGCTTTAGTGTTCAGTATTGGAATCAGTTGGCAGAAAAAAAAAACATATTTCAAGGATGTTGAGAGAAAAAAAAAATGAGCATTTTTTCCTTTGCAGACTTTTTTATGATCGTGACCTGCCACTCTTCTGTTTTCTATTATTTTAGGTATGTAGTCTGCTATTCATTCAGCTCCTCTCCACATTTTGCACTGACCTACAAGACCAGACTTGGCCCAGAAATCAGGAGATCCTTTCTCTCTCCTCCCTACTCTATTTGCTTTGAAGGACATGTCTCAGTTTCTTTCTCTCTAGGGCAATTCTAGGGTTTATGAAATGCTCATGGAACCTTGTTGGACCCTTGTGCAAAGGGCTGTTTGATGATGTGAAATGTCTTCTTACTGTGGAGCAAGCTAAGACAAAGGAATAAGTGACGCTTAAGACTCAGGTATTTGGTCCTTGCCCAGTTATTCTATGATTAAATTTAGTTCTTACATTTTCTTTCTCTGCCTCTGCAGTGACAATTCCATGCAAGCTGTCACCTTGGCATCACTGGGACAGTTAAGTGCTACTCAGTGTGAGAGAGGCCAGCAGAATTGGGCCTCATTTAGGAAATGTTTTAGGGCCATCAAAAGCCTGACCTCTTCTCTGGCTTCAAAGAAGTTATTGCTAAGTATTATTAGAGTGTTCAAACTGGGACACTGGTAGTAGTGCCAGGAGCAGAAAGTGCTCCAGCTTCAATCGGCGTTTTGCATCAGTGAGGTCTCCAGGAGCAAGCTGGCAGCCTTTGAGCTTCCCTCGTGCTGTTGGGAATGAGTGGGCAAAGGTGCCTGCAAGTCTTCAGGTGCACAAAACTGCTCCACTGGGGCTTGGATGCAGATTCCCTCCCTGCCCTGAGAAGCACCTTGTGCTGTGTAATGTTCTTTTCTGATGTGAAGTAAAGCCCAGACGAGTCAGTCCTGTTGGTGGGTGCCTTCAGCATCCACTGACGTGAGCAGGAGCAGAGGGTGCTCGCCCACAGTGGGCAAGCTCAGCCCATTAGTGTTAAATAGTGAAATTGTACACCAATGACTTGAATGTTGTGGGACTATTTTAGATGTTATCATAGTAATGGCTTAGAAATTGAAAGCGGAATAATAAAAATTGCTTTGTGTTCTTACCTAACACAGATATTATATATGGTCATATATATATTACCATTATATATGGTAAGATCATTTTTTTGGTATAACTTGTTTCAGTGTTATTCCTGCTTGTGGTTTAAATAGTAAAAGAGAAATTAATTAAATGCCTACACTGAAAGTGTGTCACCTTCTGTTGGAATAGCAGAGAGTCATAATATATTTTATTTTTATTAGTATTATGACTAATGATTATATGGGGGATGTGACTGTTCAAATTCCCTTAGTAATGAGTTTCATGTTGCATTTGCAAAACAAGTTCAATGAAAGAAGTTATTGCTATGTAAAATTAATTCTTACAAATAATATGAAAAAATTAGCAAGACAGCAAAAATGATTTTTACTATAGTTTTATAACTGTTCAGTTACTGTGAATTGCTAAGATTTGTAAAGATCTTTGAAGATGAAAAGCTCTGTGTAATATTATTATACTGGCTTTGAGAAAGTAAAAGGAAAAAACCCAGTTCATCCTGTTATAATCCTTTTAGAAATTTTAACAAATCCAACGGCTTTCAAGTAGTGAAAATATTTCAGAAAGTGTTACCACCACTACTGCTGTTGCTCCAGGCTATGTTATCATATACCATAGTGTGCATGGAAGCAAAGCTTAACTAAGGTCATTCTAATGAATTTTGAACAGTTACATGGACCTAATTTGGCTTTCTGTCCTGTATGAAAGGCAACCTCTTCATGCTGCAGCACCCAGCAGAAACCCCTGAGTCGCCTTACAGCCTCATCTGCATTTTTCATCATCTGAAAGAGCTGCAAGTAACGCTCAGCCTATGAGCCCAGCACATGTGTGTGCTTCTTCCAGCTTCAGCATAGGGGGCAGACAATAGGTTTTTTTTCAGTCTCTAAAGAATTGAAAATGTATTTTATTCTGCTATCTCCACTTGTGGCTCAGGTTTCATTCTCTCATTTTTGTTACCAGGTTTGAGCTCTTGGGTACTAAACAACAGCGTTTGGTCAAATTCCTTTGATGTCAGCTCTCTCCTCCATTCCCAGGAGAGTTGCAAGGTTCCAGCATCATTCCAGGGAGCTGCTTCCCTGTTGTTGACAGAAAAAGGAGGTTGAAATCCTGAACTCATGGTTTCACTGCATGTCTGGGGAGCTGGTCTAGCAGGCCATGAGTCCATTACACTCAGTGCTCCTTCCAGCCCTACCTCCTTCCTTCTACAGATGCTACAGAGGAAACAGTTTTAGTGGGCAAACACAGTAAACCACCCCAGAAACCAGGTCAGAGTGATTGAAATTAAGGGAAGTCTCAGAGATTTAATGTTCTTCACAAAATATTATTTCCCATTCTGTCCAATCATTCTGCATATTCTTTCCTTTTTTAAAGTTCAACCGTTGTAAATTCTTGCTCTCAGAGAAATCCAGTGTTGGTGAGCTCCAAAGTAGGTGGAAATGAGAATTTCCATTTTGAAAGATATAAAATGAAAAAATTGAAAGAAAAAATTCTCAAGAATTCCCTGTTCCCATTATTGATGCAAAATATTAATTGCTAATCACTGAGATAATTTTCTCCAATAGTGTTTGATTGTTTCTTTTTAACATTTATCTCATATTGGATACAATGAGATGTTGAATCAATACATTAAAATTTAAATCCAATATTTTGCTTTCTCTGAAAAGTGCTTGTTATAACATTTGTAAATATCATTATAGACACTTTATTTAAAATGCTTCTATTTTTACTACAGTGCACAAACAACAGAAAACTGAAAAATATTTTATTCAGCTCTTTATCAGAGTTCAATTATGGAATGAAGATAGTAAGTTTTTTTTTCATCATTATTGCATTTTCCATCTTTTCATTTCAGTAAATCTGTTGTTCTAAGGTGAAGTTTCTAACCTTTACTAACTTTTCAGTTTTCATACTTGGATCATGTCCTTCTTATGTCTCTCCTTTCTAATGTAAATAACCCTGTGCTTTAACTTTTCTTCAGCTGAGGGTTGGTTAGGGGTTTTTTAGATTCTTAACTATTCTTAATTATTATTTTTTTAAATCAGCTTCTCATTTACCTCTGCATTGCACCTGTTGCTCAAAAGTGATCAGAAATACTGATGTATTTCTGAAAGAGCTTTATTATTGATAAAGTAATTTAATGATATTTTAATTTTTGTGAACATTTTTTCTGATTTTTTTCACTGCAATTCAATACTATCACTAATAATGTTTATGTCATTCATCTTTCTGACTGGAAAATTAAAATATTTTAAGAATCACTAGAAGAAAAAAATCCCTGAAAGTGTCCCATATATTTGCACATTAAAATATATTTATTATCATGGTAGTCTTCACCAATTTGACTTACAGCTCTCCAAGAGTGAATGATAGTCATCTCTGGCTGCTCATGGTTTGTCTAATGAAACCAGGTGTGCTCTGCATTGTTTTTGATTCTGCAGCAAGAGCAGCACATAGCTGTAATTTTGCTCAAATCCCCAGCCCCAATATGCTTAAATTGCTTTGTATTTGTGTACTAGCTTTTTACATTTCACCTACCTGCACGTTCTTCAAAGTGTACTGAACATTGCCAGGCTGATAAGATGCTTAATGGATTCTTACCCAAATGTCTCTGTCTCCTCCACAGTCACATAAGAAGCTGAAGGGCTGAAAGCAGGGTGTTTGAAGGCATCTGAATGGGAAGCTCAGAATTGTTTTGCTTAGTTTTAGACACCCAGAGCTATCAGGTGGCTGATCTCTCCGGGTTTCCTCTCCTCCAGAAGGAATGCTCAAGTGCTGCCAGCTTGCAGAGACAATATTACAAGATCCTGTGAGTAAACCTCAGTGCTATGGGTATGGGCAATGGTAAATTCTCACTCTTGGTTTGTTTCACTGAGTAATAATTTCAGTGGACTTCATCACATATGTGCCACAAACACTTGTCTGTACTGACATAAAACAGAGTTGCAAGATAAAGACATGTATTCACCTTAAAGCAGAGCTGCTGTTTCCAAGTATCAAGCATGAGTGGATACTGGATTATTTTGGTTCTTGGAGTCCCTTCCTACTTTATATTTTTAATCCAAGTCACTGGATAGACACGGCAGTTTTTTAATTGTCATCTTCCAGATGCTACATAAGTCAGCCTGATTGTTGCCCGTACATTTCATGGCTTTTTGTGTATGATCCCTTTTCCCTACATAATGAACCCAAAGGGTCTGATCCTAGACTTCCACTCTCCAGTGGCAGCTCAGGAACTTGCTTGAGATTAAATGCAATGTCAGTCCAGTGCCTTAAAAGTCTACTGTTTATTACTAAGTCCTCAGATCTGTCCAAAGAATTACATGGCAGCACATACCCTCAACTTCTAAATGGCAACAAATGTTGAGCAAGAAAGATTTCAGAGAGCTGAATTATCTCGTTAAATTAACTGGAACATTTTAATTTTTACTAGAGTTGAGTGAGCTTGAGTAAATATGACGAATTGGACGCTCACTTCATTTAGCAGACATCAAACACACACAGAACGTTGCCCAATTTAATTTAGCCCTGCCAAACTGGGAAAATGCTTGTAAAACATCAGTGAAGAAGAAAAGGGCTAAAATTTACTCTCGGTTGAGAGTGCATGCATAAATTCCCTTGACATAAACTGGTGTTGTATATATATGTATGAATTATACCATAAACTTTCCCTCAGGGAAAATCCTCCAAACACCTGCCACCAGAATTTGTGCTACCATGAGTTATTCCCAGTAAAGTCAATAATAGCCTCCCCTTTTGTTCTAAATGGAATATGTAACTCCTGTCTTACACCCCAAGGTGTATCTCCTTTTCCTCTGCTGTCTCTTATCAAACACATACCAGCACAGTCGTTTGTTCAGTCATGCTCAGTAGAGTGGTTGGCTTTTTTTTTTTTGCTTTATCCCCTGAGCTTAATGGGCACATTTTGTGAAGAGTGAGCCAACCAGGTAAATAGCTGCTACTATGGAGCTTAAGAGCTACAGCTCTCAAATTAGGAGGTGCTTTTTGTCAAATAGGCCTCTGTAGCTCTAATATTAGTAACAAAACAAGGGCTTTTCAGACAAGAAAAAAAATCTTTTGTCTGACTCTGTATCACACATAACTCTGTTGCCTTGTCAAATATGTCAATGTTCATATTATACAGCAGCATTCATCTGTGGATGTAAAAGTGCTTTGCAAATATTACCTCTTGAATACTTTTAATTTATATTTAACAACCAGGTTTGTGAGATGGTACTCAAAAAGAATGAGAGTGAACTATTTAAAAAGTTAGTATAAATAAATTATAGTGATTTATTTGCTTTCCTGTTGCTCTATAGAAAGTTGTTGGCTCGAGCTCCAAGGCAATGCTACCTAAGCATGCTTCAAACAGCTTTTTTACTCCTTTTGTTTTAACACCCTGTCCACACATCTCTATGTGCTGCTTGAATTCTAGTTTCAGCTTCTCTGTTGCTGTAATTGGCAAGCATTTCCTGGTAGAGCACCAGGAATGAGGTACACAGAAGGCAGAATACAGCCCTGAGTAGAGGTGCTATGGTCTCAAATGCATCCAACACACAAAAATAGTCTTTTTTTTTTTTTTTCCAACATTTTAACAAAATTTCTTTACTTTTTTGCATGCTTCAGAAGCATTAGCTAAAAACATTACTAAAGAAGTTCCTTGCCTTCAGGCTATGCAACTTGTCCCAGTGTTTTAAGGGATTTTTATTGATTTTTTTAAGCAAATTTTCTTTGAGCACAGTCTTTCATCCTGTTTTCTGATGACAAGGCTGCAAGGCTGTTTGCAGAAGGCAAATGTCACAGACACATGTTATGAGTTTTAAACTGATTTGTGAAACACTGCAAGAGGATGGCTTTTACTATAATATGTCTGAAACCCCAATAATAGTGAACTACTTACCTGCTGTCTGAAAACACCCTGGATATTAGGCCTTCCTTATCTCAATTTGTCAGCTAGTTTATTAGTTTAAAATTATTATGTTTTGTGAGTAGTCCATTTGCTCATTATTTCTGTAAGAAATGTTAGTTTTATGTTAAAAGAATGCTTTGGGACAAAGGGAAATGGGGGAAGCTGCAGGCAGGATGTCTTTGGTGCTCTGCTTCTTGGGCTACTGGTCTGTCCTAGGTCTTGAGTACCAGAGCTGGTACTTACTTACAGCACTGCTTTGAGTTTACTGACAACTGCAGGTGATTTTTCCCTTTGAAAACCAGGATTTTGGCACCCAAAGTTGGGTTCCCAGACTGAAACATTTAAAGTCTCAGGTCTTTGTTTTCGTCAGAGATGTGCACAGACAGTGAGTGAGTGAAATGACATTTGGACTGTGTATCAAGGAATGGCTGTGCAATGTGAAGTTGTTGCTGTGGAGCACATTTATTCTTGTTGCCAATTTGGAGATGATGCTCTCTGCCTGCTGAGGAGTGCAGAGGTGCTGTTCATCCCTGGAGCACAAGGCTGCTTTGGGCTAGTTTGTTTGCAGATCTGTTTTAGGATAATTCTGCAGACAGCTGTGCTGTGCAGGAAAGCTCCTATTCAGGTACACAGGACTAAAATAATAAGATCCTAGGGCAGAGATAAACATTGCCCTTCTATTTTTTGAAAGCAGATGAACTTGCTAGACCCACCCAAATGCTCTGGGGTTGTCTCCTGCCTGATGGGCTGCCACCAAGGCTCTAAAACCCTCGCACACAAAGGCACCACGGGACTCCCACCCTCGACGTGAGTGCTCTGCCTGCCTCTGGCGCTGCCTGTCAGACCCACTTCAGCTGGAATCAAGGTAAAGAATCAGCAGCACTAAATACTGCAGGACGAAGGCATAAACCAGCTTTGTAACCCTGGGCAACCTGGCTGTTTGCTGACTGACAGTGTGAATGACAGCCCAGTTGTCACTCTAAAAGATCGTCTTCTAATCATTCCAGATATCACCCGACAAGATGATGGCTACTAAAAAGGGAATAATTTGGGAAAAGTCATAAAACCTATTATCTCCTGCTGAAACCATTTTTCTTTGCCATTTCTGAAGTCTCTGCAAAATAGCTCCAGAACATCCCATATGTAGCATGCTACTGGTTTATGAAGAGAGGGTGTCCACTCAGAAGTGCACAGGATAGCCCAGGACATTCCTAGAGAAAGCCACCCCTGAGCTATGCCACTCCTTCATGTCTTGGCAGGTGACTCCAATCCAGCCATAGCTGAAATAGTTCACCTGTTCCAAAGCACAACAGGCAGCAAAAGGCTGTCATAGTAGCTGCTCACACACATGCACAGCCTGATGAATCAGAGAGAGGATGGAGATGACCACAGCAGCAGCAGAGTGCAGTTTCTGGGTAGAATTCTTATCTTTTCTCCTTAGCAAAGAGAGAAACATCTGAAAACATTTATTAGGACCTTTTCATTTTACTTAATTTATTAAATTACATTTTAATTTCAATATGAAGAGAAGACTTTCTTGAGTCTTCTCAATGAGGAGAAGAGAAGGAATTGTGTCAATTCCTTCTAAAATGTAGTGGAAGAGATTGCAGTCTGTGAGCCAGAAAATTCTGTATATGATTCATGTAAAATATCTCAATGAAATACACTGAAATGTTGCTGCCAAAATTTGGTAGAGAAGACTGTTTCTGCAAAACAGTACATGGATTTTATGTTTGTAAACAGTTTTCTCATGTAAACAATAAAAATCCACTAAAATACTGGAAAAGTGCTTCAAAATCATTCTTTAAATATACCAGACATAACTTGTCATTTCACAGTACTGGAGAGCGGGTTTTTTAGGTTCAGAAACTTCAATAATTCAATATGTTCTGATGACATTTTCTCTAGAGCTTTGCTGTTGATTCAAAACCTGAAATGCACTCAGAAACTTCAGTCTGTAAAATCACTTAGACTGGAACTTAGATCAGTGTTTGCCTAGTCCCTCTGAACCAATGGGTCTTATGGAGCTCTGATGTGGATGGAAAGTGTGAAAGGAAACACCAGGCCTGTAAGAAGTAATAGTGAACAGCAAACACTGAAAAAGTGTCTGTGAGGAACCAAAGGCAGTCAGTTATTAAATTTATTACTGGATTCTGCTAGCAGCAATTTAAAAAAACCTAACTTCTCTTCCCTCTGATATTTCAACTATCCATTTCATATTGTTCCATTCCTTAGGTTGTATCACTAACACCACAGCTCCAGGGAAGCTCAAAAAAACTCTAGGGCTGGCTCATATTTGTCACCAATTTTCTTTTATAAGATTATAAGCAAATAATAAAAAATGCTGTTTGTTATCTTTTTTTCTAGCAATGTCATGCCCTTAAATTTGGTTTAATTTCTCATTTCTGTGCTTGTTTTGAGCTCCCCATTTTACATTTTACTCCGTTTTCTATGAAAATTGTATCTGGCTGTGCTTCCTCAAGACCAATAACTCATTAAGCATCTGAATTCAAATAAGTGAAATTAATAAAACTGTGAAATTCTTTTTTAAAAAATAACAACTTAAATTTTTATGATTTGAACTGTATTACAGTGCTTTGGGAACTGGTGGTTGGAAAAGTACGGCCAAGCACAGGAATCTCAACATACAAGGCTGGTTCCTCACCTCTTCCTAGTGCCTTTGCCACTGGCTGCTGCAGGAAATAGGAGAGAGACCTTTGCTCTCATCCAGTTGTTCTTACGCTTAAATTTTATGCTTTGATTTTTTTTCTCTATTTTGAAAATAGTTAGATAAAAGGACAAAAAAGGATAAAAGGACCAGAAGAAAGTTCCTTATTTTTTTTTTCGCACTTGTCTACTTCTCAGTTTACAGTCTCTTCACTGCCCAGAAGGAGGAAAGAAAATGAAGAAGAGAACAAATATTATGGCATCCTTGCTTTCCTGAGGCTGGTAATCCAGCCAGTTGCAGTCTCAGCCTCTAAGAGCTCAGTTTTCCCAGTAGCTTTAGGAATATTTCCTGCAGGCTTGCCTCTCTGATGTCACAGCTCACAGAGAACCATGGGAGATTAGTTGGTTAACAATCTCTCATAATTTATACCAGGATCTTTAAACTTTTGTGTGCTTTTCCCATAAAAGACAGTTTTGCTGGTGCACGTTAGATGGAAAATATTTTGCAAGTTCATTAAAAGAATTTCTATTAAAAATCTCTTTGAGGAAGCTCCTTCCTGATTCTGAAAATTAAGTTGTAAAGGAGCAGTCTTTTTTTAAGTTGTATTTGTACTGGGAATTCTCAGAAATCCCAGCCAAGAATTATTGTAACATTGTACAAGACTGAAATTCCCTGTAGCTCTATGTTTAGCACTTGCTAAGACCCCATGGCAACATATGCTTTTCTAGTCACATATTTACTCTCTGTGACTGAAATGAATACAAAATTTGCTATCTAGTTGAGTGAAATTAACTATCTTTAGTCATCTTGGTCAAACTTGAAAACCTGATTTATTTATTATCTATCACAATACTTCTGTTTACCCTTGATTTTCTTATTTTTTGCTTGCTTGATTAAGTACCGTGTCCTCCCGTGAAGCTTGGATAGGAATATGCTTGAATGTTTTGCTAATGTAAGTTCCAGGATTGGATCCATTGCAACAATTTTGGGGTTCTTTTGAAAAATGTGAGATTTTAATTGGTCTTAATTTTTCAGCGTAGAAGTCCAATACTGTAATCGGCACTTTAAGAATGATCGAATGCTTTACCTGTACGATAGTTCCCCTCTGATATGTGTTGTATTTAAAGGTTAAAGTAAGCCTTGATGAAAGTGTTTGCCTTTAGCTGTTCATTTCTACTTTAACTATTGTTTCAGCTGTGAAAAGCTTTTTTTATTTGGTTGAGGTTTGTTTGTTTCTCGCTGCTAAGCTTTTCCAATATTTAAAAATTCTTCATTACATACAGGTTTGAATTTTGGCTTCTCTTTGGAGTATTTTACAAGGACAGAGATTTTACATGCTAAAATGCTCTCTGTAAAACACAGCTGTAAAAAAAAAAAAAGTGAAGTCTATACTGTATGTCCTCTTGAAACTTTATTCTCTTTTAAAAGGATTTATGTCATTTTACATAATTCTTTTGGCACGAATGTTTATTGCCCAGCTGGGTGAAATTATTAATGTACCTCTCAAGCTGCATTTTCAAAGATCAGTAATATATATATATATATATATATATATATATATATTTATATACCCCTCTCTGAGGGTCCTTGATATGTAGGATTTTTATTGGAGACTCTTGTTCCACTTCAGTAAAAGGATGACACAAGATGTTTACTTTAAAAAGTCTCTGACATCCTCCTGAGAATGTTTTGATAGAATGGCATACATTTGGTTACAATTAGTAAGCCAAACAATTTTCCATTGTTATCTCACTGAGTTTGTCTAGACCTTGTAAGGAGCTTTCAGAAAATATCCATCTCCATGTTTCAGCTAATTGATTGCATGTCCAGTAGGATTATTCTATTTTATAAAGCTCTTTGTCCTTTTAGTTTTATCACAGAGATTTTACACAAATGCATGTGGTAGAAAGCAAAAGGGAAATACTGGCATGGTTAAGCATAAAGAGAAATTGTACTTGTATCAGGGCTAATATTCCTGTGTGTGGGAAAAAATATCCATGTGCTGCTGTTACTTCTGTGTGCAAGATGTTATACCCGAGGGCTGAAAGTAATAGTAGCTGGTGCGAAAGTATTCACCAATATCAAGTGCAGATGAAAGCTTTTGGAGGCAGCTGAAAGCTGAGTTCCTCAGCTTAATATTTGAACTTGCACTCTGTCTGGCATAATAAATGATGGGTGACTTAATTTCATTTGAATTCTATTCACAGTGTAATTAAAAGACTCAAATCCTTATGTGACATCTTTGCTGCGTTGTTTTGGTTATTTGCCATTTTATATATAGTCTAGAGTCTCAACTTTCCTTTTGTATGATAGCTGAAATACATCTTTCTGTTGAATATCTTACTTTCTGTTTAGAGACTGATAAGTCTCAGCCAAGATCATTGTCTGTGTGTTTGGGTAGTAGGCATACCTTGCTATGTACGTCCCATATTGCTTGCAGTTCTTTGGGGGTTACATGATTAAACTGGCTGTAATGCGAATTAGTGTCTATGTCACAGAAATTCCCCATGCAATTATCACCCCTTGGAAATGCTGCAGTGCCAGGTTTAGTCCTGATAACAAGAACTGGTGCTTCTGTGCCTCCTTTAATCATCCTCTTTTGTTTACACTCTTTTTGGAGAAGCGACTGATCACAACTCCTGTAACAGTAGGTACACGCTAGCAGCAGACGAATGCAGAGCTTGTGGTGTTATTCTGCTTCATAAACCTGTGTCCTTGAAGTCTCCTGCATCCCTGCCCTGTCAGACTGGTAAAGTCGTGCTGCTTTTATGTATTCTTGGTGGGAGTGGTCAATACTGAATTGAATAATTCCCTTTTGAATTATATTTTTAACAAAACAATTCTTGAAAAGGTCTGCTGGGTTTCAGATGGGTGCACAGGAAGAAAAACATGAGAAAGAAATTCAAAATCCAAAGGAGGGAGAAGGGGCTACCCTTGAAGCACTTTCTGCAGTTGTCACCTCTGCTCCTTCAGCAGGGAGGGAAAGGACAGACTTGCCCAGAGTGGTCCCCTGTCGTGTGCTGCCCTCCAAGCAGCACAGAGAGGCAAGGTCTCAGTAAGGTCTCAGTCTCTGTGTGTCTCTGCACCACAACACACGACTTACACCTTGGCCATCTCTGCACCAACACCTCTGTGCAAAGAAATCACTGTGCCTGGTGTCTCCAAAGCTGGAACCAAGGCTTTGGGCCCCTCTGCATCTTGGCAGCAAAGTCAGCCCTTTTCATTTCCTTGTCATCAGAACTGAGTTATATCCGTTCCTGTTCTCTACAGGAGTTTGAATTCAATTTAGCTGGTGATTAAGTTACTTTGTGTGAATTGGATGCTGGTAGGAATGTTTGTTCAAAGGGTTAACTTAACCTTCCCCAAGGTTGTAATGGACACTGGAAGATCAAAAGCTCCTCCAGACTCTCAAAGAGAGAGGAAAAAAGAATTGCTTGCTTTTACAGTTTTCAGTCAATGTCTTCCTTTTGGGAAGCAAGTCTGTGTTTAACATTCTTAAACTCATGGTACAAACAACTCATTTTGTCTCTAATCATAAACATAATTTGTCTGTTTTTTCTGTTCTTAAGATTTATGCAGTAGCCATGTTTGTCAAAGTATTTGGCACCAGTGACATCATCTTTGCTGAAATGCCGGACAGCGTGATGAGTCCCAGATGTTAATGCACACCAAAAGCTGAGAAAGAATGAAATATAAAGATCAACTGTAACAGCTATGGAGGTCACAAAAATAGATTCTTTTTTCTTCTAGTATTTAAAAATAATTATTTAGATTCATTGGAGGTGTGTTTTCACACATGACCAATTAGGGACTGTGCTCACTATTCTGCACATACATGATAAGGACAGACTGAGATGTGAATTTGGATGAACACTGAATAAAGCATGATTTAACTTCATAATTGCACTATTTCCTTTGTGTTTTTTTCCAATCTTTTACACTTTGCTTGTGCAGATTATGATATATGCAGAATGTGTGTACTGAGATCTAAATGTGCCTCTTTAACTGCCAGGATTTAATTTGTCATTTGGATAAGGGTCTTGCATGGTTATGTCAGCACATCATGTTTTCTAATGCAACACGACATGCCAATGTAACCAAGAGTAGCACCACTTCCTAATGATATGTCATGTTGGTGAAATGTAGAAAGGATGTGACTTGCTGTGAATCAGGCTTGATATTTATTTTTTTAAAATTTTAAAATATAATCCCTCTCTGTGTTCCAAAAGTAGCCTTCACAGAAGTATGGTTCAGAGTCTTAAGGGGAAAATCATGAAGGTGCTTGGGCATGGTTTTGTTGTGACCACAATATCTACCCAAGTGCCTTGTGCTGCCTGGTAAAGGAAGCATTAACAAATAATACATCCTGAGCATCCTCAGAGGGATAAGGCTGACCTGACTAATATTTGCACAGAAAAACAAGTAGAGATGCTGCTTAATTTTCTACCAACACTTTCTTTAGATCATTCTGTTGTCTAGATAGAGCTCAATATCTTGAAAAATTTCCATATCCACTGTCAAAAATTGACTTCATTTTTTAATTTATTGGCATAAGAAAAGTTTTATTAAAGTCACAGAGAGAAAAAAGAAATTTGGACTTTTCATATTGTGTATTGCATCCTATAAAGATGATTAATCAGTTGAATGTATAACTCATATGTCATTGTCTTCTCTTAAAAGTCTTCATATCAGAAAAAAATTATAGAAATACATCAAAATATAACCTTGTTTTAGTTCTTCTTAGTAGATTATCCTTCATTTCTTTTTTTTTGGAGTGAATGTTTTTGCATTAGTCTCAATGCAAGTTTTCTGAAACCTGAAAGCAGCAGTGATGAGGTTTTTGGAGTTGTTTGTGGTGCAGTTTTCACTGTGCTGCTCAGTTCTGAGTCAGCCATATGAGCATTGATATCTCTGAGTATGTGGGAATTATTCTGAAATTATTTGGATTTTTCTTACCTTTTCTTTCAGACTGCATGCTAATGTGGGAATAAACACTAAAACCCAGATAACTTATATTGTTATTTCTGTTCATAGGACTGTACTCAGTTTACATCTGATGATGAATGATGCATGAAGAATATGGGATTTTTTCAAGGGTTCCTAAAGCTAAAGGTAAGGTGAGTCTTTCTGATACCCTTACTAAACCCAGCATGTCCACAGGACTCTGCCAGATCTCATTTTCAAAATTACCTATGTTAGGGGTATAATTCACAGTTCTGAAAGCAGCTTGGATGCTTGGTACATTAGATCTCACTGACCTTCAAAGGGACATCTAAGCATCTCTGGTCAGATACTGAGTGTAAGGGGAGCCTGGTAGGATTCTTTTTATAGTGTTTCATCACCTCACTCCCTTTGAAATCATTTTAAACATTTTTCTTCAATTTAAAAAATGGGGCATGGATTTCTAAATCATGTGTGTACTTAAGAAAATATTACCTGTAATTTATTTAAACCTTGTGAATACTCCAGGGAAAAGGTGTGTGGTGGATGCATTGTGTTAGTAGGAAATGTGTGCTATGAATTTTGGGACAAATCTTGGAGTTTTGCCACTGATGTGTCATTTTTAGTCATTACTTGCTGAGCTGTATCATTAGAAATCTGAGTCACATAGGCCATGCTTAAATTACACATCAGATAACCCAAGTGTTTAAGGCAAGCTGATGTAATTCAGCATCACTTTAAGCAATTTATGCCACTGAAGATCAACCCCCTCAAAGTCCTGCATCTTCCTAAGTGGAATTATTTCACCTTCTCAAGTCTTTTCTTACATCTCATTTTAGTCGGGACTCCCTACTTTCCTGTCTCTGGCTTATACGATTGGCTTGTGGCACTGATGCAATTACTGTCTCCATATCCAGTTTACTATTAGTCTTAAAAAATGAAAAAATTTCACCTGAAACACAAACATACCTGTTTTAGTTAGTGTGTGAAAATGCTGAACAAATCTCAAGGGGCAAAACAGAGATAACTTTGCTGAGGGGTGAGCAAAATGTTAGTTACATACAATTATGATAATACAGTGTCCTATCAGCCAATAAAATATCACACAACATAATGGGTTTTTTTCTGCTTTAGTGCCATTTTTATTTGCTGAACAATTAACAGGTTTTCAAACAGCATTGCCAGTTTTGTTTATGTTTTTTTTCATACCTCCATCTATTTTCCAGCAGTCATTCACTTTGTGTTCCATTCTTATGGCCAGAGAGCTATGCTATGACATGCTGAAAAATGTTTGCTAAGGTGATTAAAAGTCATGTTCAGAGTTATTGATTATACACCCACTGACTTCTTGCCAGGCCACTGTATTTATGCCAGACTGAGTTATCAGACTCTCTGCTAGCACAGCTTTACTACAGTGGCTTTTCATCAGTTCTGCTTAAAACACATTGAAAAACATTTTCCAGAAGCCATGCATGTGATGTCTAGTACAGGCTTTGCAGCTGTCTCTGTAGCTCTCAAAAAGGTGAAAAAGCAATGACTTAACATTCTGCATCACCCAAGTCTGATTTTTTTTGTCTAAGGTCACCTTATCTTTGTAGATCTTGGAAAATGATCATGAATATTTATGATGGCATCAAAAAATCAAGCAGCTGCAAATTGTTTACAACATTTTTAAGAATATGAAACCAGCTTCTACCATAAATCAAGTACATCTGCTAGAACTGGATGACAACTGAAAGCTCTTTGGTTCCATCCTATCCTCTTATGTACCTGAGAGCTGAAAATTCATCAGTACCATGATTCCAAAACTCTAATGTGGGCTGTATAGATAAAAGGTAAAACCTGAAGTAAAGTATCAAATTAATCATTCTAAAGATAGCACATGAAAGTAGTTTAATGAAATATTAATCTGAAATAGATGACATAAAACTTTGTGGAAACTACATTAAAAATGTGCACAGTATTGTCTTCAATATTTGTTGGATTTTTCTTCTACAGAACCATGATTTACAATTTGCTCCAAATTTAATAGCTAGCTGGAGAAGTAGGCAGAAGTAAACAATTTTAAATCTTGGCACTGCTGCCAAATTAGTATTTAGATGACATTTATTGTATGAAGACATCAAAATATTTGGTTTAGTTCAAACTGAAGGAATACTGTGTGTGCTTTAGATGAGACTCACTCTATGTCTAGAAATTATTTAGAACAAAAAGGAAAACTGTTCAGTTCCCAGGACTCTGATTTTCAAACTTTTTCTTGCCGAGTGCTGCCACCAGAGCCGTGGTGACAGCAGCCTCAGCCTGCAGCTCTGCACAGGCTCACATGTCAGGGGACAGATCCTTGCATATCACTTGTGGTATGTGGATTGCAACTTGGGAGTGCTGTATTGAAGCTCTTAATCCATTAAAATGCAACTGTGCTAATAAACAAACTATCTGATTTAGAGACTACAGTGTCATTTTACCTCTCTTTGGGAGGTTTCATATTTTCTGTATTTGGTTTCTCCATTTCTCCCTACTCATTAAATTGCACTGTTCCTCAGTTTTTCACTGAAATACTTTTGACTAGGAAAGCGTGAGGGATTTTAGGGTCTTCCCTGTTTCATGTTTAAAGGATAATTCAAAGACCTGTATGCTCAGAGGTGCCTGTCCACTTTGCAAGAGGATTTGTTTTCTGTCCAATAAGTGGAACAATAAACTCCATTTCTTTTCCTGCTGCCCAGTGTTAAGGCTGTCACAGACCATCCATCCCGAGCAGCACTGCACTACAATTCAAGAAAACCTCCTTCAACCAGCATGCAAGCCTTCATCAGAAGGCAAAACGCAAGTCTGAGAGGATAATAACTGAGACATTCTTTTAATAAGGACCATTTTTAAATGTTAAGAATGACTTGTTTTAATTGAAGGAGAGGAAAGGAACTCCTACCAAGAGTCAAAGAGATCCCCCAGAGCTCTCTGAAGTCTTCAAATTGTCTTGCATAGCAATTCCTGAATATCAGAAATGAACAAAGGTTATAAAATCTTTCTTATAAAGCCATCTCACTGTAAAGTTCATCTGAGGAGGTTATTCTCTTCTATAGTTAAAAATTTGGCTTTAGTTTAAAATTAGATACCTGACCACTTTATTTACTGAAGGCAAGTCATGGAGACTCGCTTTATAGACCCAACTTTTGCTGAGTTTGTGTAAGCAGGGATGCAGAACAATTACCATCCATCCATTCTTTTCAATCTCCTATACAATATCCACCTGTTCTGTCAGACAGCAGGAATGTTTGCCACAAATACAGACTACTGCAGTGACAGCAGCAGGTGTATGGCAGCAACAACTAATCAAATCAGCTGAATCAGAGGTGTGAACCACATTGCACTTCTGTGCAGTGAAAATGAGCAGAAAGGACAGAGCTAAACGGTGGGGAATTTTTGTTTTGTTTTACTTTTAAATTATAGGCAGTGCAACTGGTAAGTGCTAGAAAAAATAATGAGGACTTGAAAAGAAAATGACACTTCATGCTTCCTGCAAAGGACGGGCAGAGTGACACAGGTATAAGAGACACCCATTGTAATCACTCTCAAAAAGCAAGGCATGGGTTTTGATTTTCCTAAAGAAGCAAATGCAAAAGAACTCTTGTCTGTACCATATGACTCATGATGCTTCTTTACCAGGCTTAAAGAGAATTGAACTTGAGTAATAGCACCATTAGAGCTCTTTACCAGGAGCTAGTTCCTGTGGTTTCACTGGGTCCAGCTGCTGATGACTCACAGAGGAAGTGGCAGAGATTAGGTGCACAGGGAAAAAATCAGAACAGCTCAGAAATAAAGCAAATCAACCAAGCATTACCTTTTGTGCACAACAGAACAATGGCTTAACAACTAAGGTTCAAAATGTTCTGTCTTATTCCCCTCATTTGTGCTATTCCTGTTGGAAAGACCACCAGGAAACATGTGAACCACTGTGGAATACACACTGTAATCCATGGAACATCTCAATTAATATTCCCCCTTGACTACAGCTAGAACAATACATAGCATCAAGCAGTTTAATCTCCGGCAATAATGCCTTTTGTAAGATCAAGAGGTCTTTCCCTTGAATTAAGGTTTAAGTGAGGATTTTGAAAATTAGTTAGATATTCTGCATGGTGTCTAGTGGTGGCTACAGGTTCCATAACTAGGTAAAATGCAAAGACACAGGTTTTCACTAGAAATATTGTTGTTAGTAGTTTCTCCTTTGTAAATTGATATTAGTTCCCTGTAGAAGACAATCAATTCCTGCAAAAGTCTTTGTTACAAACCAATATATCCAAGTCTGTATAAAATTTAAACATTGTCTTTGGTATTCAGTTTTTGTGCTACAAAAAATTATGTCCCTGGCAACAAAAAAATTAAAATAACGAATTTAAAAGGGAAGATACAGGAGGAAATATTCTGGATCTAAGCTCTAAAATGCTTGGGGAGGACTTCTATCTGAGTTGCTATAGATTGATAAAGTAGTTTATTAGAAAAGCATATGACTATTTTGACTAGATTATATAAGTTCTTTAAAAACATTTTTAAAAATTAATATTATTTACTAAGAGCACCCTAGAAAAAATATTGCTGATTTTGCTAGATCAGCAATTTATCCTTGTTTTTAAAAATAAATTGGAATAGACATTTTTACCCACGTTCCACTTCTTATTTTCCATAAGCATTTCAGAGGCAAGATCAGTTAATAATTATTCAGAGATGCATTTTATACACATTTGCTGTAGTGATTAATGTGCAACAATTCACAACCACCTCTTTAGATTATCAAGTAATGCACTTTACTTTTGATGTTTACCATCAGCTGGCATTTCAAACCCCACAAGGTGACCTGGTGACATTGGTGCACGGCCTCTGCCACGCAGGGTTTTGAAAAGGCCCACGCTACCCTGAGCTTCAGGTGTGCTCCAGCTTATGCAATAAGCACTTGAAAAAATATTGCCAGTAAAACAGATGCTTCTCCTGGTGTTTTCCTGTGTGGAAACCAAAGATGAATTCACTCCGTGGCCCCTGTTCTCCCCAGTGCCACGGCTGCATTGTGTGCAGCGAGCAATAAAGGCTGCATTTGGGATAATGAGGGTTGTGCTGTGCATGGGGAGGTGCCAAGTCTGCAGCACATGAGGTGCCCGGGGGTGTGTGGGGTGCTGCTGGCCTG